TCCTCTCTTGGGTTTTTAGTCAGTAGTGGGTTCTTTACTTTCTCCCCTATATGTAGTTTTCCCCTCTCCCTTTTCTGTTGTAGTTTTTTGTAGTGTTAAAAAAAATCAATTAAAAAATCCCATCCGGTGGCTCAAGAGAGAGAGAGAGAGAGAGAGAGAGAGAGAGAGTGAGTGAGTGAGTCTGGCGAAGTAAGCTCTGATGCAGCAGCAGCACTGGAAGCAGGAGATGGCCCGTTCCACTGCAGGCCTGATGGAAGCCCTCCGGGGGCCTGATCTGGCCCCCGGGCCACATGTTTGACACCACTGTGTTAGGCTATTTTTTTTTTACCCAGACGGGGACGGTTGCCTGTCATAGAGCGGAATCAAACACGGCAAAAGGACCTTTTAAGATTAAAAACTCTCTTTATTTCACAATTTTATAAAGCAGCTTTACATGAAGCACAAAGGTCGATCGGTTTACTGTAATAGTTTCCCCCCCTTATAGATATATAAACATAATAGGCCCCCCTTCCCCCCCTGCAAAAAACCCATGTCTTGCTGTATATAAAACTAACCTGTGCACATTGTGCTTAACCCACAAAGTCTGTACAGCTTTACAAAGGACTGGCTGCCCGCCAAAGGGCATCTTGTAAACAATTTATTGCATATTTAACACATGGTGTAAACCCCACATGTAAAAAGGAAAAGGGAAAAAAAACAATCGACACAGGGACAGTTAGCGAAGTGGACGAGGAGGGCGGCTTCCGTGTCAGTGAAAAGTCTTGCGAGGACGGAGAAGAGGACGGCCGACGCTGCCCCTCCCCCATCAGCGGTTGTGCTTGTGTCTCACTGCACTGGGTCCCCCAGCATGCACCGTGTCGCTCGTGAGAAAACATTGCTGTGTAGTGATGCAACGGAAGAAGGCGTGTCAGCCATCCAAAAGTTAGCTCCCAGTTAGCTCTTTAATGACCCAAAACACGCCGGCATCCACCTTATTCCAAAAGCTCCCCACCCCCACCTTTAAAAAAAATTAAAGAATGTGCAATAAACTCCTTGGAATTCCATCTCCAGCCACGGCCAGCTACCTCAGACCCACTCCCACACACACACAAAGCAAAACCCAACACAGGCCAAGTGCAGACAACGCCATTCCCAAAGTTAAGCAACTTTCCCAAAGTTAAGCAGGCCACATCTCTCCACACTCTCCATCTCCCACCAATTATTTATACCCCCCTCCTCTTTTTGAGAGCTAACCAAGTTTCGGCACCAAAGTGAACACAAACCACGGTTACCAGAGCTTTCAAACCTCGGTTTGTCAATGAACCGTGGTTCATGTTAACACTGTATCAGCGATTAACGATGAACAGGGACGGGAAGGGGTGGGAATACACAGGAAGGGGAACGGAGGAGGAAATGTGAAGATTACAGCATGTTTTCAAACTAACCAGATTGGGAACACTGTATCTGTGCGGGATCATGGGAAAGGTGTCGAGGAACAAATTTTTCACAATCTCGGTTTTGCAGATGGTAACGGACGACCACACCAAGTCTGCGAGAGAATTTGCTTCTTCCCCCTCTGGATCAACATTATCCACCAGCAACAAGTTCTGGCTACCACACTTCCCTCTGCCAACGGTCACGCCAACCACAGAAGCCAGCGCCCCGCACGAGTGCCAGCCCCAAGGTGGCGGGACACGGGGCAGACGACAGAAGCCATGATTCAAGCAAGCAGCGCTGGATTTTCTAACCCGAACCGCTTGGCAAGCTGAGGTCAAGAAACAGGCAACAGGTCTACACAGCTGGAAGCCCTGGAAACGCCGAGGCAAACCAAAGGATCACCCCTTGCCGATACTGAACTGTCATTTCCGAGCGCAACAGGAAGCCCTGTGGTTAAGGCAAAGTGGAACCCCATCCCCTCAAACTGTCTGGGTGGGCTCCTCCAAATCCAGTCAGCCACACTTTGCAAAAGGAGCAATAGGGAGGGGAGTCTTGCAGACGGGGCCGTGCTTCTTAGAAAGCCCTCTTTTCTATACAGTTAGGCATCATTACCAAGGAGAGACTTCCAAGGCCCATGCTGGCTTTTGCTACCAATCTGTGACTCTTTAGATTGTTCAACACACACCAACAGGAAAAGGTGCTGTCTAAGACTGCCGGGTTCGAAGGACTCTCCCTCTTTTTTCCTTTTTCCCAAACTTCTCCTGCCTCCTACAAGAAAGCCAATGTTCCCTCTGCAGTTTGGACTCCTTCCTGCCTCATTTCTCCAAATGCTGCTTCCTTCACAAACCGGATGCCGAGACCGTCAAAGGCTGGACACCTCCCCGTGTCTCTGAAAGGGCACGGAAGATTATTCCTGTGACAAGACTTGTGGATGGAGCCAGAGCAAGGGAAAAGATCTACCTGTCGAGTCGCTCGCTAGATCTCGCGGATGCCGAGGGAGTTAAATTTTCTCTCTCACCTATACAGGGCAGAGTCCTAAAAGGGCCAGAATGAAGTCGTTTTTCTACCCCTGCATGGAGAAACGATACACCGAGAGAAAAGAGGAACGCTGGGAAATGGGAAGCCATCTGAAAAGCCCGGTCACCTCTCCAAGTCAGACGCAGGGGCTGCAATCCCAAGAGATACACCTTTGACTGCAGCTGTCTGAATGGCCTGGCTCCCACGGACCATTTCCGCAGACGAGAGAATCAACACAATGCGATTTCCTCCCCTCCTCCTTTCCGCCAAGGCCCAAAATGCCCCCGTGAAATGCCGCTCTTGGGGGAGGGCAGGGTACCCCCAGGAATAGCACAGGGGGAACTGGACACCCGCAGGGGGAAACGGTGGAAATCACTTTGCTGTTCCATCTGCGGAAATGCTTTATGGGACCCAACCCAATAACCGTCCCATGCCCTTTCCAGAGTAATGCAGAGATGCAGCCATTACAGTCTGCAGTAATATGAGAAGGAAGTGAACGGCTGCCAACGACACACGCCATCTGACTTTGCAGAAATGCATCTGGAGCTTGTGCTTCCGTGGCCAGCCGAGCGATCTGCAGAGACGTCAAGCCAGAGCCATGAAACGGCACTGCGGACTGGCAAGGCACGCTTCGCTTGCTGCACCCTGCGAAGGGCACCTTTCACAGACTTACAGCTTCCGAACCTACAGTGCCATCTGCTTGGATTCCTCAAACCTTTACATTCTCAGAGGCTGGGAATCAAGGGGGCCAGGCCCATAGCCACGGTGGGGCATTCTGGGGCTCCGCCCCCTCAAATGTGAGGCACGCCCCACAAGAGCCACTGCTCCTCTCCCCCTCCTGTGACATTAAAAGGGCCCTCCCGCTGATCAGCGGGAGCCCATGGTTCCCCTCCCCTTCCCCAAGATTTAAAGGGCCGTCCAGCTGATTAGCGGGCCCTTTAGATGTTGTAGGAGATGAGGGAGAGGGCCGGCTGCCGGCTGCACGCCTTCCCTGAATTCCAAGCGGCGAATTTGCTACTTGGGGTTCAGGGAAGGTGTGCGGCCGCCCGTCTCCCTCCCCCCTCTCCCCCACAAAATTTCCCCATGCCCCACCAACCCAAAATGTCTGGCTATGGGGCTGAAGTGGGCGTGACCAAATGCAGGGTATCTGACTGAGAACAGATTTTTCTAAGTCCAGGAAGGGAATTTCCAGGTGGCAACAAGCCAAAAGTCACATTACTGGGAGGTCCACTAAGTCGCTTGGGACATCGCAAGAGAGGGCTTCCCCAGGCGTGTCTGCAGCCACACAGGGAGGCATCCACTGAGACATGTGTGACCTGTCCGGCCCAACGGACTGCCCAATGGATCGCACCTTTGGCCAGCCTTTGTTTGGGCCACCGTGACCAACACTGGTCCAAGCCAGATGGACGAATAAGCCAGTGCCGTGCACAAAGGCAGGAGAGGCACGACTTACCGGCAGCCAACCACAAACACCCAACTCGCTTCCCAAGCAATTAAGAAAAATAAAACGCACAGGAGCATTTGCAAGGTCAAAACGCAGCGGAAAAACTCAGCGGTCACCGTAACTCCATTTGTATAATCAAGGTGGGTTTTCTTTATACCAGCTGGAAAGATTAAGCTTAAAACTCTGACTCTGGAACCAGCTGGAGACCAGGCGGCCGTCTTTTGTGCAGTCGGCTGTCGTTGTGCTTAGAGAGCAAAGGCTCACGCTTGCCAGTGGGCAAGATCCACCGGGCGCCTCTCTTGGGCAGAGAGCGGGGGGGGGGGACTGTGCAAGGACACCGAAGGGCTCTTTTTGGCAGTTCTGGCTGCTGTTGGCGGTGCTTCCGCAGGGAATCCCAGGCGGCAACAGGATCGCCCCCCCCCCCCCCCATTTACACATCTTCAAATAAACAAAGCATTTTTAAGGACTTATTTTTAAACAAATAGCTCTAAATTTCCCCAGAAGGAAACAAAAGTATACAAAAAACTGCACTTCGTCCCTCAAAAAGAGGAACGCTTTCCACTCTCTGGGATCCAAGTAGGCAGACGTGTCTGGTAGAAAATAACATTTCCCCCCCCAATGCTGTTGCAAATAGAAATAATTCTATTCTCCCCCCCCCCCCAATTTTAAAGAGGCCATATTCTATTTTTCCTGCCAGACACTGAATTATGAAAGCCATCAGTCCATTCATTTTTTCCCCCTAAAGAAGGGGGGAAACCCTCACGAGGACACACGTATCACACTACGCTGGATCACAACGGATCACGGCAGAGTAGATTGGTACGCGAGTCAACAGTGCAATCCAAAAGCAGAGTTACTCCAGTTGAGATCCACTGTGGGCCTCACCTGGAGCAAAACGCCTGAGATGGCACCGGACGCTCAGACCCAGTCCCTCACTCGAATGTCTGCTTTGCGATTCCCACCTTCCCACGCTCAAGTATTTTTCACTGGAATGCAATCAGTTAAAAAGGTGGGCTATGAAAGACCGCTTCTTCGAAACGACAAGAGCCCGTTCCCAAAAGCCAACCAACGCGCGCGCAGGCACACACGTCCGCCCGCCACGTTTTTGTTTGAGAGATGGCCGTTCACCAGCAGAGTGGTGGGGGGGAAGCCCCCCCCTTTGGCTCTGGGCTCTGCTCAATTGTGCTTGGCCCGGCCCCCTTTCAGGTAACTCTTCCACCTCTTGAAAAACTCCTTGAATATGGAGGACTCGTCTATCGTGCTGAGCAGCTGGAGCTGGTTGATGTGGGTGGTGTGGTAGTCCCACCGGGCCAAGTTGGGAGACGTGCCCAGCATGAAGTGGCGGAGGTCGTAGATGGTTCCGGAACCCGTGTCGTAGAGCGGGAGCATCGCCTTGAGGGACTCCATGCCCCGGTCGTACAGCAGCTTCGCCTCCCTCCCCAGCTTCTCCCCCGCGGTCTCCTTTAAGTCATACAGTCCGATCAGAGAGTACACGAATCCGTTCAGGACGAAGGAGCTGGGTGAAGTCGGGTACTCCTCGTACCAGTCGTGCCTGTTCATGAAGACGGCCTTCACGCCGTGCTGCTCTGACGAGTGCTTGTAAGGTGCAGTCGCCCGCAGAGCTGAGCTGAGGAAGGCGTGGTCCTTGGTCAGCAGGTAGGCTCTGACCAGGGTGGAGATGGCCTGCCCTTGTGACATGGCAGAGTACCAACCCGGGTCCAGAGACTTAAAGCCCTCCCCCAGTTTCCGCGTCACCATGATCGGCCACCCGCCCTTTTCGTCCTGGTTCCTCACCAGCCAATCGCTAGCGGCGAAGAAAGCCGCCATGTGGGCCGTGGTGGAGATGGTGACGTTGTCGATGAAGCCCTTCCCCTTCACCACCAGCCTCACCACCCGTTTGGGCATGATCTTGGTCTGCTTGACGGCTTTCGTGTTCGAGAGGCCCACCCCCTTTCTGAGGTCCGTCACCAGGTCTCGCGTGAGGGTGGTCCAGCTAGTCCTGGGCCCGATGCCGTAGGTGACACTTTTATCCTTAAAGGCGATCAGCTGAGAGTTCGTGACGTAGTGCACGGTGAAGAGCTGGTTCTTCTCGGTCGTCTCCAGAACCACCGAAACGCTTCCATTCGTTACGAATTTGAGGTCAAAGGAAATGATGAAGTCCCTCGAATTCCCGAGCTGCAGAGATGCCCCCTCGGAATTTTCTAAGGGGAACAAAAAGAAGAAGGTGCCGTTTGTTAGAAAGTCAAACGAGGATTATTATTTTATTTTGGGGGGGTCCGTGTATCGTCGATGATGATGCATGAAGGAAGCGACACCTCCTAGCCCGCCTGCCGGCCCAAATGCACATTCTAAGGGCTTCCAAACCAATTAACATTTCAATCAGCTCATTACTGCTAATTAACAGCAGGTCTGCTGGATCAAACCCAGAGGGTCCAGACTCTACCTTTCACCCAGACGAGCAGGGGGTTGCCAAATTAAACACCAGAAATACGAGACACAGGCGCACGGGCACACGCCTTGTCGTACCTGGCTGGACTGGCCAAAGCCGCTCTCCCTCGGCCCCAGAAACCCCTCCCTGCTTGTCTTGACCGGGGCTGCTGGGAGGTCGACTGGGGCGAATGAGACCGGAGATGCCACCTTCACCGCTACGGCTTCAGACCACAGCTAGCAGGGCAAGGCCCAGAACCATTCCCCCACAAAGTACAACTTGGCAGAAAAGACTCCCCCTGCACAGCGGAGCGTCCTCAGGTCTGCAGGCCCAAAGGCTGCTCCCGGAGGGCGGCTAGGACTCGCCCGGCCCCTCACCACTCCCGACACCCACCACGGGGAGGCGGGCCCGAAGGTCTCCCTCCACCTTTCGCTGCCTTGCCTTGCAGATCCCGGGCTAAGGCTCTGGCTAAAATTACTTCGTTGTCTTTTAGGGTAATGGACTCATTAATCCTAATGGCTATTGATTAGCCGGAGGAAATGCATTAGGCCCCCGCTAATGAGGCTGTCTGGATAACAAAGTGGGAGGGGGAACGTCGCACGTGAAACAGTAAATTTGAGTCAGAAAAAGCTATTTCCTTTCGGCATGAAGGAAAAATTGGCGGGCGGGGAGAGGAAAGCAAACATGGTGGACTTGCTTTGAAGGGCTGCCCTGCTAGTCTGCAGGGGAACAGACAGACTCGAGCCCCGGAGCACCCGAGAGAGCGAGAAGATTGTTAAGGGACAAGCTTTGTCAGATGGGGAGCTTTCGAGTCCTGAAAGCTACTCCCTGAAAATCTCACTGAAGAAGAAGAAGACGAGATTGGATTTATACCCCCACCCGTCACTACCCAAAGGAGTCTCAGAGCAGTTTACAATCTCCTTTCCCCTCCCCTCCCCCACAACAGGCACCCTGTGAGGTAGGTGGGGCTGAGAGAGCGCTTTCGAGAACTGCTCCTGAGAGAACAGCTCTGAGAGAACTTGTGACTGACCCAAGGTCACACCAGCAGCTGCCTGTGGAGGCGTGGGGAATCAAACCCGGTTCTCCCAGATTAGAGTCCGCGCTCCTAACCACTACACCAAAATGGCTCTCATTCATCTCTAAGGTGCTGCTATTGCGTGTTTGCGTTCCTCAAGAGGACTAGAAACATGTTTCTGAACCAGCTCCCTACGTGAAGGCCACTAGCAGTTCCTCCCCCTATTGTAGAGGATGACTGAGGCGGGAGACTCGTTTGCCCAAAGGCATCTTTCAAACTCATTGAAGAGATGAGTGGAGATGGAAAATATCTGGAAATCTTTGGAGATTTGACAGGAGGGGGGGGACTGGTTGGGGGAAAGACTGAAATACATGGAATAACCGCTTTCCTTTCAAACCTAAGCTTATTTTACTGCTTTAGCAAGATAAAATGCATTATTTATAACTCAGTTAGCATCTAAATAGTACTATTTGGCATATTTATAGAATTCAAAATGCAGACTTGCAAATATACTCAACGCAAGCTGTTGCGCCCCGTGCTCCCTTCGGAAGACGCGTCTTGATTTTTGCTGTCTGACAGGCAGGCAATAAGCCAGAAATTAGAAAAATAACTTTTATGTAAGCAACAAAAGAAAGTGCATTGCTTGGGCAGAAATGGCCTTAAACAGTGGCAAGAGGACCAGCCACATACTAGGACATCTCACTATACTTTACAAGATGTAAAACACTGAACTTTTAGTAATGTATTTCTCCAACACAGCGTAGCGTATTACTGCTGCCAAAGTTATTCACGTTTAAACAATAAGTGCATTCCTGAAAATATGTTGCGTATGTCCACAGAATACATAGGCGTTATCATTAACGAATGCTGTGGATCGTCTCACAAAAACGTATCTCACAAAGCTCTTTCATAGAGAAGCTGTTTCACAGGGATTTATTTCAGTGTCCGTCCGTCCCCCACCCCAAACTTCCCAATTTTTACCATCAGAAAAAGTGAAAAAGTCCTTGGGGAAAAAAACAAAACACTCACCCCACCTCCCCCACAGGTTCTAGAGGTGAGATTCGGACAGGGAGGAGATGGGCCACGCTCTCAGTGCCTATAGTTATAGTCCCTAGAACTCCTTCGCCTTCATCTCTTCCCACCATGTTCCTCTCTCATTCCCGGCACTGGCACACCCCTCAAGTCCTTTCCCTCTATTGCTCCTGCCTTTGTCCCGTGCCTGGAACAACAACCTCTGTTGTCTCTCTCTCTCCCCCCCATCCCTCCCTTTAACAAATCCTCTCCTGGACTATCTCACCGCCCTATTCGTTTGGGCATTCCTACCCTGCTTTTCCTTTCAGTGGAGACCGAAGGGGACCCTGGAAAAAGAAAACTTAAAGAGACAGAAAATGCAGTTTGAAGGAACAGAACAGGAAGCACACTAACGACGTCCTGGGCTGGTCCCAGATCCCCTGAGTGGGCCCATTCAATTGGGGGCCGCTGCCTGCGAGTTCTGGCCGTAGAGAAAAGCTCCTGGCCGCCCCCTAGGCTGAGCTGCAGGTTATGCGACACGACAGTGGAACAGGCTGCCTCGCGAGGTGGTGGAGGCTCCTTCGCTGGACGTTTTCAAGCGGAGGCTGGACGACCCTCTTCTGGGTATGTTGTAGGCAGGGTTTTGTAGAAAAAGCCCAGCAGGAACTCAGTAGCATAATAGGCCACACCCAACAGCAGAAACCCATTAGCATATTAAGCCACTCCCCTGATATCACAGCTCATTAGCATATTAGGTCACACCCCCATGTTACCACACCCACCTTTTGCTTCTTATTCTGTTTACTTCCTTTGTTGTTAAAACCCTGGGCTTTTTTTGTTGCAGGAACTCCTTTGCACGTTAGACCACACCCCCCTAATGTAGCCAATCCTAATGAGTTTCTGCTGTTGGGTGTGGCTTATTATGCTTTTCACCATCCCTACACATATGTGGCCCTAGATTAGGATTGTATGAATTAGAATTGTAAGCCGCTCAGAGCCCCTAGGGGGTGAGCGGGATAGAAGTCAAAGGATGGATGGATGGATAGATGGATGGATAAATAAATTAATTAATTAATTAATTCC